TGTATTATTAGCGTATAACCTGAAAGAAATGTGACGTGTGTATTGTTCGAACCGAATGAAGTTAGCTGTTTTTGACAGATTAAAGTACAGTTAGGAAGATACGCGCAACTCCTATTCGATGTCAAGTTGGTAACTATTCGTTTAGGCGCTCTTCAAGATAATTTATTTTAAAAAGATTTCGATCAAAATCACGCATTTGGCTCTTCTGTTCGTTTCCTCTGCAAACCGACATAACTGCGGGTTCTTAGTCTCCAAATGTGGGTCAAGCGGAACGATATATCAAAAAATTTACTAGGAACAATTCTGTGAAAAGTCTGCTGAAGACAACGGGTTGGTTTTAAATCAGTTCCCTAGTTTCTTCCGAAGGAAAATAGGAAAAGAGTCTCAAAAATTCCGAAAGGCGTTTAAGAGGTATAATTTAAATTGAAATTTTTTTTTATAGTTATTATTTTGATATTTAAAAATATTATATCAAGTTATAGTTAATATTACGTATAATGTATTGTAAATATTATTATGATTGTAGCATCATATTCAGTGTCAGTTATTAGAAATGATACTTAACCTAGAATAGTAATATTTGAAAAATATGCGAAATCCAATATGAAATACGTACATTACTTTCGAGAGAGAATTTTACGCTTTTAACCAGACATTTTTTTTACGTGAATTAGTACTTCCATAAAAGAGGCTATCATCAGGAAAGCTCCATGCTAATCTACGTTTCAACGAACGAAGGTAACCATATTGGGCAATGACCTCTTCAAACGCCTGTGGGGCGGATACTTCAAGTTTTTCATCAAGATCATCTAACTTATTAAAGATAGTCTCCTTTGAATGGCACCCTCTGCTAGCTGTCCAGATATGATCCCTAATAAGAAGAGTGTCTTTAGACTCTATCTGCAAATTTAGTAATCGAATATGTTGTCTGTTCTACTTACTTTATCGTGAGTAATATCGTAATTAATCTATTAAAATTTTACATTATCAAAATAATTTAAATTACACGTATTGAATTGAAATTTTTTACATTTATTAAATCGATGGAATTTCGATTCACGAGAACGAAGTTTCTAAGCTTATTAATATATGAAAATCTGAATACAAGCTAAATAATATACCAATTGCGTTCCAATAAAATTTAATAATTTCGTTTGTAAGAAATGTTCAGTTATTTATAATGTACGTGCTTGATAGTTATTTACAGAATCTAACTTACGTGAAAAAATTCATTAACCAC